CATCCGGACCGACACTGTCATTCCCGTTTTTTGGTTTGCACTGGTATGATTCGAGGTTCGGGTTAGGGTGTTTGAGAATGATGTTGGACCTGCTCTTTTTCCTTTGACAGTTCATGTAGTAGAGGGAAACGTAGACGTAATGGACTGGAATTCGAGGAGTGGTTGCCCTGTTTGGTAAGAACCCTAATCTTCTAGGTCGTTTTCTCTTCACTTTGATGGAATGGGACTACGGTTTCTATGTAGTAGGTTGTCCCTAACATCTGTTTTTGTGCAAGGATTGAACATGGTAATGCGTTTAGATTAGTTGTAAAGGTCTCTAAGTGGATTGCTGAGGATGAGTACGGGCTAGTGGCCATGTTTGAGCAGGAACATGAAATCTGGCTTGATAGGAATGATCATTATACTCTTGCTAAGTTTCATGCTGAAATGGAAACAAAGATAATCTGGGGACCTTCACAGACATTGGCAGTTTGGGTGGTTGAGCTAGACAGTCCCTCTCAATGGAAAATACGGAGGGATGAACACTTTCAGCAGCTTATACTTTCTAGATGGAATGAAAAAGAAGCTGTGCTTGCAGTGGATGTTGTCAATAAAGATGATGAATCAGTGAATACTTGCTCTGGTGTTAGGTTTGTCTCTGGTGTCACTTCTGCTGGCAGTGGTGTTCCTTATAATGCTGGAAGTAGTCATGCTGGTGTTAATGGTCAAGGCAGCAGTGGTGGTACTGGTAATGGTCAAGGCAGTGCTGCTCATGGTAATGGTCAAGGTAGTGCTGCTCCTGATATAACACAAGGCCTGATAATGTTGAAGGCACTGGTGACACTTGTAGCAGTCCTCCTCCTTCTATGCCACCTGAACAAGCACAACCAGTAGATTGGGCTCAGTTGATTGTTGAAGAAGAAGCAAATGAGGATGAGAGCAAGGCAAAGCGGCGATTGATGAGGATAAAGTTTATGAGGCTATGGGTTTTGGTTGAGCAGATGAGAGAGCTGATGAAGCAGCAAGGGAAGCTATTCCTATCCCTGCCATGACAATTTGAGATGCGGTGATATGGATAAAGGCATTTATTCGATTGATGACCATGATGATCAAGAACCAATGTTTGATCGGGACAGAGAAAATCCAGATTTGTCTGTTGGGTTTTTTTCCATCCATGGATGATTTTAGGCTAGCGAAGAAGACAACATGCAATAGTCAAAGATTTTGAACTTGCTACTTCTCATTCAGATACTGAAAGGTTTAGGGGACATTGTGCTTCTCTGGGATGTCCTTGGATAATTAGAGCTAGAACTCAGCATGGTGGGAGTGTCAGGGTACTAAATTTGCATTTTCATTGTTCAAACTAAATTTCTGAATTCTTTTTATGTTGGATTTTGAGGTGCTGAAATGTTTTGTTTTGGTGCAGGTGCAAATAAATGAAGGTGTGCATACATGTGCTGGAAGGAATAAGGTGCCTGGTGCTATGGCCTCACAGGCTTGGGTGGCAGAAAGGGCATTACCATATTTGAGGAGGATGCCAAACATGGGCCCAATGACATTGAAGGAAGAGCTAGATAAAAAGTATGGCATTGATATCAACTACCCGATTGTTGTATATGGAAGAAAGAGAGCTGGCGACAAGTTTGTTTGGTAAGCTATTTGATTCATTTGATTGGTTGTATAGGTTTAAAAGAGGTAGAATTGAGATCACTGGTAGTATTGTTGAGGTAGACAAAGTGAGGAAGTTGATGGAAAGGTTTATTTTACAAGATTTTTCTGTTGTTTCAAGGCTGCCATAGATGGTTTTAGAAATGGATCTGAGCCTTACATTAGTATAGATTCTACCCATTTAAATGGGCTCTGGAATAGGCAGCTGCCCTCATCTCAGGCATTGGATGGCCACAACTGGATGTATCCATTGGCTTTTGGATTCTTTGAGTCAGAGACAAAGAGAACTGGATCTGGTTTATCGTGACTTAACAAATCAATTGGCCCTATGGAAAATTTAGCTGTTTGCACTGATGCTTGTAAGGGTCTTGAGGTAGCAGTGGCTCAGGTTTGGCCTCATTGTGAGAAGAGGGAGTGTTTTAGACACTTGATGGAGAATTTGAAGAAGTATTATCTTTGGAGAGGTGTATGCCAAGAATATGTGGCCAACAGCAAGGGCTTACACTCCAAACAAATACAAGTTCTTTTTTGACAAGGTTGTTCAAGCTAGCCCAGGTATTGTCAAGTGGCTCAATGAGCATCATAACCTACTTTGGGCCAGAAGTAAGTTTAGTACAGAGATCAAATGTGATTACATCAACAACAATTTAGCTGAGTCTTGGAATGCCGGATCGAGAGATCGCAAGGATCTCCTCAGACATTGCTTTGGCTGATGCTATTAGGGAGAAGACATTGACTTTGTTTGCTAAGAGAAGAAGAATCTCTGTTGGTTTGGGTCCTGACATCTTGCCTGCTGTCATACACCAGCTAAATGCAGCCTCTAGGGGTCTAGGACACCTCAAAGTAAAGAAGGGTCATCCACATGAAGCAGAAGTCATAGAAATATACAAGGATCAAGAGGTTAGGAGGCATGTTGTTTATCTACAAGAGCATGCATGTACTTGTAGGGAGTGGCGACTCCTTTGGGAAGCCATGCCCACATGCCCTAGTCTGTCATCACCGACCAAAGGCACCACAAATGGGCTTGTTTGTTCACCAGTACTACTCTGTTGACAAATTTCGAGCAGCATACCATGGTACAATCCCTCACATCACTGATAGAAACCAATGGCCAGAAGTTGACAAGGGTTTCAAGTGTCTTGCACCACTAACCAAGACAAAAAAAGGGGCCAGGCAGGGAGAGGAAGAAAAGGTTCCTTGGACCATTTGAAACTAGTGGGAGAAGAACTAGGCAGGCAAAATGCAAAGATTGTGGGGAATTTGGACACAGGAGTGGGAGCTGGAGATGCTCACTTACAGGCACAAGGAAAATGTTAATTCTAAACCTAGGTTCTGTATCATTCTTACCAATACTTATATAATGTACCCTCATCTATTTTGTTTCATGCCAGGAAGAGGACAAAGAAGACAGCAGCAAAACCTGAAAGGCCAAAGAAGGGAAAGAAGGACCAAGCAGATGGGGAGGTCTCAAGTGTTCAATCTTCACCAAGAACAAGACTAGCAATGACTAGAGAAGCGGTGACAGAGCAAGCAAAGCAGCAATTTAGCTAGCTAGAGATAAAGGCTGCGAGATAGCAGTTGAAAATGCAATTGAAAGTCAAGCAGCGAAAAAAGCGACCCGAAATGTCCCACGATGTTGAATTGCAAGCGGTGAAGTTGCGTGACCAAAGAAATGTCCCTGATGTTGAATTGCAAGCAGCTGCAACACCCTGATGTTGAATTGCAAGTTGTGAACCAGCCAGAAGAAGCTGTTGCTACAAGGAAGATGGCACCTAGGAGGAAGCAACTAGCTACCAAGATCAAGAAGACTCCAACAAAGAAGACTCCAACAAAGAAGACAGCAGGAACCAAGGGGAAGAAGAAATGAGATAAAGCTTCAATTCAAAATGTCTCTTATTTTGGCCCATGCTGTCCTGAACTTGTTTAGTCTTTTCTTTTGAAAACTGTGATGAAAAACATGTAATGGATGAGGCCACAATACATCCTTGTGTATGGATGTCAAACTGTGCAAGTGGCCAGAACAAAACCAGTCATGTAATGTAATGCTCAACTGAGCAGTTTGTTTCTATCACTTGATCAGTTTGTTTCTATCACTTGATGAGTTTGTGATCTGTGCATTATCATCTGTGTTTCAGTCCCCCCATTGTTCATGGGATCCAATTGTTCATACACACAAAAATTGGAACATTGCTCACACAAAAGTAGGCTTATTTCATTTCATTGTTCAAACATACAGATCCAACATGGAAAGCAACCATTTTGAGTACAACATGTTACTTCATTGCAAAATACATCATTACACATCCAAACACTACACAAACAATACACAAAATGAATGAGTTCATCTTCCAGATCACATTGTCCAGCTTCTGCTCCAGGGGATGCTCCAGTGCTTGCCTCGGCTTGTCGACATTTGTGTAATCCACAGAATCAACTTCTTCGTCCAACATCTGTGCCCAGTTCGACGGCCGAACAACTATGACGCCATCGTCCTTTAGCCACGAAATATCGCTTCTCAAAACGATAGTAGCCATAAACCTTCGGATACTGCATAAACGAAACGGGTAGTAAGAACCCTAACTCAGATTTCGGGAACAAAGCACACCGACTGGATACTCACCGTGTTCCTTGCACACTTGAAATACAGTCGCCCCTGGTTTTCACCCTCCTTCGTCCGCCCCTCAACCACCCTATCCAACCCACATTCCAGGCAAACGATCAGTGGAAAGCCGCTTAGCTCACCGAATGGATCGAAGTCGATGGAGTGGATGCGGGTGCTCCGGCCCCCTTGCAGCCTGCTCCTGGCACGTCCACCTCCAGAGGACTCGGCGTAGTGAGTCATGTGCGGTGGAGGACAGAGGGAGGGAATGCGGCGGCGGCGGCGGCGAGTGTGTCTGGAGCCAAGGGAAGAAGAAGAAGGAGACAGGAGGGAGGGCAAATGGGCCGGCTGGAGCACCTCAGACCGGCCCGTATAGCTAAGAGGATGGGGGCAGGGGCAGGCAAGGTCATTTTGCCCCCTTTGCGCGCGCGGATCCGACGTGGCACGCTGTCTTAGAGCGCCACGACACCAAAAGTGGTAAAAATGTATGGTTGGGCGAGCACCGCTGCTGAAAAATTATACGAACTCGGCAAGGTGAGATATCGAGAGTGGCTGTCCGTTATAATGGTAAAAAGTTAAATGTCCCTCGGCTTCCCTGACACAAGGCCGGCGCGAAAACGCCCCGCCCCATCAATCAAACCCCGCTCAAAACCCCGCGGACCGTTTGCTGCGCGCCGATTCGAACCCGCCGGGGAAAGCGCCGACGCCGACGCCGTCTCGCCCCGCGGAGGCGGCGCGGGGCGAAACCCTAGCGATGGCGGCGTCCGTGGACGCTGCTGCAGCGGCGGTGGCGGTGGCGCCCCCCGCCGCCGTGGAGGAGGCGGGCGGCGCGGTTGAGCAGGCCCGGACGCTCATCGGCGCGCTCAACCTCCTCTCCCGCAACCTGCCGCTGCCCCCCGACGTCCTGCGCGCTGTCTCGTCCATCTACCACGATGGGGGTGCCGGTGAGGAGGAGGAGGAGGAGGAGGAGGAGGAGGAGAGGAGGTGCGGGAAGCGGAGAAGGAAGGGGATGAGGAGATGGCGGCCGCGGATGGGGTCGCGGAGGCCAAGGAGGACCCTGCTGACGGTGCGACGACCAAGGTGCGTGTGGGTGGTTCTTCTGGTTTGTGTGGGGATTTTCGCCCTTGTGTTCGGGTGCTCCTGGGCTGTGTGTTAGATTGGTGTCGCGCTGTTGGGGCCCTGCTTGTTACGGGTTGCGGAATTCGTCGTGATTTGGCTTGTAATATTTGCTAGTATTTCTAGATTCGAGCGAGCTTCGTGCTGGGGATTGTGAACTGCACCTGAGCGTTGTTTTTGGTTGCAATTGGTTGCTCCCTTGCATTAGTAGCTTTGATGGTTAGTATTTGGTGGCTGACGCGCTTGTATGAGGTTCTGCAAATTTACCTGTTAGGCGTCTTCATATTCATTAGGTGAAATATTTTATTTGGACATAATTGCCTGATTATGCTGCAAGGGACAAGGTTTCTAATACACTTGCCTGTTTGAGATCCAGATGAGGCAACTCTGTTGGATAATGTAGGATCGAGCATTTTTATTTCCCAGTTGATTGAAATTCTACGCTCTTCTGATGCTGTGTTGGAACCAGCAATATATTGCTCACTTTAGAAAATACATAATTCTGTATATCCTTTTGTCGTAAATTTGTATTTTATTCTTTGCTAATGTGGTATGGTTATATATATATATATATATATATATATATATATATATATATATATATATATGCTGAAATAAGCATGGCATGCTATAGTTTTTGTTCTCTTGGGTGTCATCTGTGCTCTGGTAGGCCAGGTTTTCCTTTTGGTTCTTGTTTTTTATTATGCACATATTCTTGAATTTATAACTAATTAATAACATGTCCGTACAACTTTATAACCTTTAGCTATTGATACGACAAATTGTTGGGAATGCGGGTTGCTTTACTTCTCTTGGCATTGGATTTTGTGTTGCATTTTTTTTTCTCCAACAGCAATATACATTTGTTGAACTTTGAAGTGTTATCTGTTGGATCTCACTTAGGTGCTATTCGAAATCATCACTGTTTAGTTAGCTGGGAACTGTGATGGGATTATTCATCCCCCTTTTGTTACCATGAGGGGACAAAGTGGCATCTGATCAACATGTATGCTCTGAAATCTTTAGAGACGTCTGAGATTGCAGACGCTATTTGAAGAATTTGTGGTGACTGGAGTTTGTGCTCTCTGAAGTTTGATCTGTTGTGAATGGAAGAATAGGGTGTTATTTTAGTAATAACTAATCTATACATCAGATGAAGTTTGACTAGGGATAAATTATCAGTTCCCATTTGCCCTTGGTGGACTTAACCAGTTTTCCTTTTCTTAAAAATGTATTCTGGTTTAGAATTTGATTACTCATTGAAACAATGATAAAAAGTGCCCATCGTCATTACGTGTTGCTGTATTTGCTGTTAGTCGCTGAATTCTCATTCTTGGTAGTAGCAGAATTCTTATTCTCATCGAGAGAGGATGACGCTAGGAGTTGGAACAATTTTCTGGTTTATTTCTCAATGCCATGCCAACACGAGGGGTTGGGGATACATATTTATAGGCTGCTAGCCAGCCAAGCATATGCTAAGATGCTAGTCTAAGATGCTAGTCTAAGATGCTAATATGCTGTCGTAGCTAAGATGCTGTCCTCCAGTCAGTCAAGGAGATGCTGCTGTCCTCCAATCAGTCAAGGACCTGCAGCCACCATATGCTGCAGCCAGCCCCACAAAGACTAGCCAACACATGAGACTTATCCATCATTCTCCCCTGAAGTCTTGTGCGTCGTCTTGTGGGAAAGTTGAACCATCCCGGTCCTGGAGCAGAGCTCAAGGAACTTGATCCTCCCAAGGCTTGGTAAGCAAGTCCGCAAGCTGGTCCTTGGTATTGATGTAGCTCGCCTTGATGCTCCCTTCCTCCAAGCAGCCTCGGATGAAGTGGTACCTCATCCGGATGTGCTTACTCCGTTCATGGAAAACGGGGTTCTTTGCCAGGGCCAGAGCGGACTTGCTGTCCACCCTGAGCTCCACCGCTTTAGTGTCTCTGCCGAGGAGATCGCCAAGCAGTCGAGCGAGCCAGAGCGCCTGAGTCGAAGCGGTGGAGGCCGCTATGTACTCGGCCTCGCGGGCTGGACAGGCCACCACTGCTTGCTTGACCGATCGCCCGACTAACGAGGCACATGCCGAGGAAGAAGAGGATCCCGCTTCGTGCTCTTCTTTGCGGTGTCGATGTCGCCGGCGTGGTCGTTGTCATTTGTACTCGACGAAGTGTGCCGCCTGGGGCACCTAGGATAGTAGAGGCCGTGGTCGAGAGTCCCGCAACATAGTGGATGATCCTCTTCACGACTTTCTTTGGTGCTCCGTCGTCGATCATTTGCATGAACCGACTAACGAGCCGACGTAGAATGCCAAGTCCGGCCGTGTGTGGGCGAGGTAGCGAAGGCTCCCCACAAGACGCCGCAGTCTTTGCGAAGCGCCCACCTCCTCCGTCGTCTTTGTCGCGGCTCATCTTGACCTCTCCTCCATCGGAGTGAGAGCTGGGTTGCAGTCGGTGAGCCCAGCTAGCTCAACGACGCGCTTGGCGTAGGCGGTCTGTCGAAGCGTGATCCCGGAGTCATCCTGGTGCACCTCGATTCCCAGGTAGAAGGAGAGAGGGCCCATGTTACTCATCTAGAAGGTGGCCTTCATCTCTTCCTTGAATGCCGCCACCTCCGCATCCTTGGTGCCGGTGATCACCAAGTTGTCGACGTAGACACCCACCAGCAGAGCATTTCCTCCACTGCCTCGTCGGTAGATGGCCGCCTCGTGCGGGCTTTGCTCGAAGCCCATCCCCTTAAACGTGGAATCCAGCTTGGCATTCCACGCCCTCGGTGCCTGCCGCAAGCCATAGAGGGCATTGCGCAGGCGAAGCACCTTGCCCTCCTTGCCGGGGATCGCAAATCCCGGCGGCTGGTGCACGTAGACCTCCTTCAAGTCGCCGTTAAGGAACACCGACTTGACGTCCATGTAATGAACACGCCAGCCCTCCTGGGCAGCCAGCGCAAAGAGGAGTCGCACTGACTCCATCCGTACCACGGGAGCGAAGGCGTCGTTGAAGTCGACCCCCTCCTGCTGCACGAAACCTCGTGCCACCAAGCGAGCCTTGTGCTTGACGATGGCACCGGCTTCATTCCTCTTCAGCTTGTACACCCACTTAAGGGTGATCGCGCGGTGACCACGAGGAAGGTCAGGAAGCTCCCAGGTGCGGTTCTTCTCAACCGCATCCATCTCCAACTGCATCGTGGCGCGCCATGCCGCGTGTCTCTCGGCCTCTGCAAACGACCGAGGCTCGCCGTCGTCACACGCAAGGTGCAACTGCGCCTCCAGGTCGTGAGGCACCAGTCCCGGCACTGGCTGGTCGCCGAGAAGGTTCTCCATCGTACGGTACCGTAACGGCTCGCCGTCGTGGTACGCGTCGATGCGCTCCTCGTCATGAGAGCGGAGTAGCGAGCTCAACCGGGCTGTGCTCGACACGAGCTGGTGGTGGAGTAGACGTGCCCGGAGTGGTGCCTGTCGATGCTGGAGTGCGTGGCGTTGCCGGCTGTGGTGGAGCCGGCGAAGAGCTCATCGCAGCCGAGGTCCTGGCTGGAGAGCGTGGTGCTGTCGGAGTAGCAGGCGCCGGGGTCGGTGAAGGCTCGGGGACTGGGGTAGACGCGCTCGTCGAAGAAGAGCTGCCTACTCCCCCAGCTCCCTCGAAGTGGACATACTCGACAGTGAAGTCGTCGTACGTCGGAGCCGAGCCGTCGTCCACCGCCTTGTCCCACGCCCATCCTCGCCCTTCGTTGAACACAACGTCGCGCGCCGTGCGCACACGCTGTGTCTTCGGGTCGAGGATGCGGTAGGCCTTCGAGCCCTCCGCGTAGCCGATGAACACTTCCGGAGTGCTCCTGTCGTCGAGCTTGCTGATGTGTGGCCAAGCTCCTTGGCAAACGCGAGGCAGCCGAAGACCCGCAAGTGGGAGACCGCCGGCTTACGCCCATGCCAAGCCTCGTACGACGTCCTGCCGTCGAGCGCCTTGGTAGGCGAGCGGTTGAGGATGTAGACGGCCGTCACCACCGCCTCTCCCCAGAAGACAGTCGGCATCCCCCTCTGCTTGAGAAGGGCCCGAGCCATCCCCACAACCGTCTGGTTGCGCCGCTCGACGACGCCGTTCTGCTGCGGGCTGTACGACGCGGAGTAGTGGCGCTGTTACGGACCAGGGACCGGAGAGCGTAGGAATGCGAGGTGGCTGGTTGCGGCTTGAGGGAACGGCGACGAACAGGAGGAGCTGTCGCCGCGAGATGAGTTTGGACGGGGAAGAGAAGTCGCCAGGAAACAAAGGGAGATTAAATCTCAACCCTGGCTTATCCCTTTTCATTAAAGATTTGCAGTACTTATACAACCAAATCCTAACAAACTCAATAACAACTAAACCCAAATATCTTTCCTAAACTCTAGGACTCTGATAACTGATTGACCGGCTGGTAACCGCGCACTGGCCCTTGGTCGACGACTCAGCCACGGTGCCTGCGCTGGTACGCCTTGCCGGTCTTGACATCTGTCCCCTCCTTGGGAAACAGCTCGTCCTCGAGCTGAAACGAGGGAAAACGAGCGCGGAAGTCGTCGACGGCCTCCCAAGTTGCGTCGTCTTCAGGTAGCCCTTCCCACTGGATGAGCACGTGCCAGACACCGCGATGAAGCTGTCCACGGAGCGCCCGCGCCGGTCGGTGAAGAACTCGGCCATTGTGCATAGGTGGCAGAGCAGGTGTGGCTGTCGGAGGAGGGCCCCGGAATGGCTTCAAGACGCCCACATGGAATACATCATGGATGCGGGCGCCTTCGGGCAGTCGGAGGCGATAAGCTGCTGCACCCACGCGCTCCACCACCTGAAATGGTCCAGCATAACGCGGACTGAGCTTGCCACGGAAACCCGGAACGAGCGACTGAGCTGGGCGATGAAGGATGCGGAGCAGCACCCAATCGTCGACCTGAAACTCCAGCGGCCGGTGATGAGCATCATAATGCTTCTTGGCATACTCCTGGGCCTGCAATAGACGGTCGCGCACCTCTGCCAGGAACTCGTCGCGGTCGCACAAGTGGCCGTCCACAAACTCTGTGCGGGTGGAGGTCTGCCATACACGACCTGAAATGGTGTCGTCCCCAGCGAAGTATGGTAAGAAGTGTTGTAACAAAATTCCGCCCAGGGAAGCCAATCCAGCCATGAACGAGGGCGATCCCCACTGAAACAGCGAAGATACATCGCAATAGTGCGGTTGACCACTTCGGATTGCCCATCGGTTTGTGGGTGGAAGGCGGTGCTCATCCGCAATTTGACTCCTGCTAGCCTGAACAGATCACGCCACACATTCCCAGTGAATACCGGATCACGATCACTGACAATCGAAGATGGGAATCGATGCAGGCGAACAATGCCCTCGAAAAAGGCCTTGGCCACCGAGGCTGCTGTATACGGGTGACTGAGAGCCAAGAAATGAGCCTGCTTCGAGAAGCGATCAACCACTGTCAAAATAACACTTTTGCCATGGACGCGGGGCAGACCTTCGACAAAATCCATTGCAATGTCGGACCACACTTGAGTAGGCACATCGAGGGGCTGCAATAATCCTGCTGGGTGCAAGTGTTCAGTCTTGTTATGCTGGCAAGTGACACAGGAATTGACGAAGTCACGCACCAAGCGACGGTCATGATCCACCACAATCCTGACGGAGGCGATGCAGGGTTTTCTGAATGCCTTCATGTCCTGCCGTGTGAGCCAGCTCAATCACCGTGGGCAGGGCCGCAGATGTGGGTGGCACATAGACGCGTGAGCCACGCATGATGAGGCCATCGGTGATGTGCCATGGCTCCCCGCGGTCTGCCACCACGGAGTCACGAAGGCCGCGGAGTGTGGCGTCCTGCTGGAGTTCCTGCCTCATTTCGTCGAAGAGTCGGTAAGACGGCCCAGAGAGAGCGTTGAGGTGGGCAAGCTGAGCCTCACTGTCCCGCCTTCTGGACAGGGCATCCGCCACCACATTGAGACGGCCGGGCCGATATTCCACAGCGAAATCATATCCAAAGAGCTTACTGACCCACTGGTGCTGAGGGACTGTTGATAGCCGCTGATCGAGTAGGAATTTGAGGGCATAATGATCTGTCCGAACCAAAAATTGTCTTCCCCAGAGATAAGGCCGCCAATGGCGAACAACCTGCACTAACCCGATCAACTCCCTTTCATAAGCTGCTAACTTGAGATGGCGAGCTGCAAAAGGCCTGCTGAAAAATGCCAGAGCGCCTTGGCCTTGATGAAGGACCGCACCAAACCCTGTCCCCGAGGCATCACAATCAACAACGAAGGTGTTCTCAAAGTTGGGAAGCTGAAGCACTGGAGCTGTGGAGAGAGCCTTCTTGAGAGTTTCAAAAGCCTCGGTCGCTTCTGGTGACCACACGAACGCCACCTTGCGGAGCAGCGCGGTTAGTGGCGCCTCAATGGTTCCATAGTTCTGGATAAAACGGCGATAGTAGCCGGCGAGACCCAGGAACCCCCTGAGGCCCCGCGGTGAATGCGGCTGCGGCCACGACGAAACAACTTCCACTTTGTCCTAATCCATGGCCACACCTTGTGCCGTAATGACATGGCCCAAGTAACTGACTGAAGAAGTGGCGAAGGAGCATTTGGAGCGTTTCAACTTAAGTTGATTGTTGCGCAATGCAGAGAGGACCATGTTGATATGTTGCAAGTGCTGTGACCACGAGGGGCTGTAGATCAAGATATCATCAAAAAACACGAGGACAAACTTACGCAAAAACGGCTGCAGGACGGCGTTCATCAAGCTTTGAAAAGTTGCCGGCGCGTTTGTAAGCCCGAAGGGCATAACCAAGAACTCAAAATGACCTTCATGTGTGCGGAAGGCTGTCTTCTCAATGTCATCCACATGCATCTGCTCCTGGTGATAGCCGGAACGCAGATCCAGTTTGGTGAAAAAGCGGGCGCCTTCCAACTCATCCAACAGCTCCTCGACGACCGGAATTGGGAATTTATCTTTCACTGTCTGCTGATTCAGGGCACGGTAATCTACACAAAAACGCCATGTGTCGTCATGCTTCTTAACCAACAGATGAGGGGCGAGAAAGTCGAGGTGTTGCGGCGGATGACGCCTCTTTGTAACATAGAGGCGACCGGGACTCCAATTCGTCATTCGAAGTCTGCGGGTAGCGGTATGGCCTCATCGCCATCGGAGTTGTATTGGGTAGCAAATGGATCCAATGGTCGCACGGTCTCGCCGGCGGTAGCCCTTGCGGCGTGGCAAAAACGTCCTCAAAGGATTGCAGTAGTGTGTCCAAGAGGGCCGGCACCTTGCTGATGGTATTAAGACGGCGGGTGGACTGAACGTCGTACCGTGGTGAACCAATGCCGCGCCAGAACACGCGACGCTCCCCGCGCGTGAAAGCCATGCATAGATCATCAAAATCCCAAAGGATCGGGCCCAAAGTGCGGAGAAATTTGATGCCAAGCACCATGTCCCACTTGTCCAGAGGTAAGGAATAACAGTCCACTGAAAATACTTCGTCGGCAATGCGAATACCAACATCGTGCGCGAGCCCGCGGCACTCGACGCGGTCACCGTTGGCAACTATGACTCCAGCGCCCGGGCATGGGGAGAAGTGAAGACCAACCCGGCGTGCGACGTCCCCGCGTATAAAATTGTGAGTAGAGCCGGAGTCCAGGAGCGCAACACACTGCTCATTGCCGATCTGGACATACACCTGCATGGTGTACTCCGTGCAGATGCCGGCAATGGCGGCCAAGGAGATCTTGGGGGATGCTATATCCTCGGCTGCAGGCTGCTCTTCATCATCGGAGTCGCTAGGCTCTTCCACCAGATAATCTGATACTTCCAGATAGAACAGTCGGACGCACTTGTGGCCTTGCACGTACGGCTCATCACAATTGTAGCATAATGCCATCTTGCGGCGTTCACTCATCTTGGCCGGAGTAAGCCGCTTGAACGGACGGCCCGGAGATGAAGACGAAGATGCCGTTGAAGAGCCCGAGGACGCCGTGGAGGACCCTGCCGCTCCTGGGGCCGGCAGGGCTGAGTAGCCCTGGTTGCCGCGACGCGGCCCCCGGTTCGGAGGTGCTGGTAAAGCCAGCGGCGCATTCCGGCGCTCATAGGCGCGCGCCAAGCGCATGGCGCGGTGAAGATCCTGCGGGTCATGCAGCTCAACATCGACCCGGATGGAATCGAGAAGACCGCCGGTAAACAATTGGGCCTGCTGCAGCGGATCCAACCTGCCCGCATGAGCGAGTCGCGCCTGGAACGCGGCCATGTAAGCGTCGACGTTGGAGAAGGGCAGCCGGGCTAGGTCGGCCAGGTGGTTGGTGGACAACGCCGGTCCAAAGCGCTGATGGCAGAGGAGGCGGAAGGCGTCCCACGACGGCTGCCCGGCGTCACGCTCCAGCACGTGGTACCACTGCTGGGCGACGCCTGTCATGTGGACGGAAGCCAGCCACACTTTGTCAGCCTCCCGGGTGAGTTGGCCGCGGAAGAAGGACTCACAGCGATTCAACCACCCCAGCGGATCCTCCATGCCGTCATACGTCGGAAAAGAGAGCTTGTGGAAGCGGGGTACCCCTGACCCGTCCTGTTGTTGTGGCAGATGGTGGCGGGGTGGTGGCGCGTGCACCACTGTCGAGGATGACATGATCGGAGCCTGCATGATGGACGAGAGCGACGGAACCGGTGAGGGCGAGTGGGGAAACGGGATACTCTGGATGGGTAACCCCGTGATCGGCTGGACGGAGCCCGGCCCGCCGGCCGAAGTGGCAGTCAAGGGCGCCGGCGTCGAGGATTGCACCACAGTGATGACCGGGGACGATGTCGGGATGCCACCAAAACCCGGCATGCCGCAGGTCAGGAGCAGCGCCTCCGAATACGGCAGTGGAGCCGGTGATGACGATCCAGGACGGCCCTCAAGGGCGGAGACGCGCAGGTCCTGGGCAGAGACGCGCAGCGACAGTTCGCCGACTTGGCGCTGCAACCCCTGGATGGCGGTCAGGATCAGGTTGAGCGGGTCGGACGATGCAGGGTGTGGTGGGGGGGGCGACGGGATTGACAATGGGTGCGGTGGTGGCGGGCAGGGTATCGTCGGAGGCGGAGGTGGGGAGTCCGGATGAAACCATGGTCTCTGATACCAGATTGTTACGGACCAGGGACCGGAGAGCGTAGGAATGCGAGGTGGCTGGTCGCGGCTTGAGGGAACGGCGACGAACAGGAGGAGTCGTCGCCGCGAGATGAGTTTGGACGGGGAAGAGAAGTCGCCAGGAAGCAAAGGGAGATTAAATCTCAACCCTGGCTTATCCCTTTTTATTAAAGATTTGCAGTACTTATACAACCAAATCCTAACAAACTCAATAACAAACTCAATAACAACTAAACCCAAATATCTTTCCTAAACTCTAGGACTCGATAATCGATTGACCGGTCGGTAATCACAAGACCGCCCTTGGCCCTTGGCCGACGACTCGACCATGGTGCTCATTTGGTACACCTTGCCGGTCATGATAAAATGAATGCCCTTATCAACATCAAGAAGACGACGCAATTCAGCCGCCGTGAATTCGCCGCCGCCGTTAATCAGGCGTTAACACGCGCGACTTCTGCGGCCGCGCTCTCGCCTCCATGGCAGCTTTTGCTGGCTGGCGCTGATGGCGTCCGCATGACCTCTCCCTTGCTGCCGAGGACCATCACCCACATGTAGCGGGAGAGGTCGTCGACGAGCAGCAGGAAGTAGCGTCGTCCTCCCGGTGTGGCCGGTGTCACCGGGCCACACAAGTCCCCGTGCACAAGCTCGAGCCTCTCCTTGGCTCGAAAGCTTACCCGCTGGGGAAAGGGGAGTCGTCTCTGCTTCGTCAACACGCAGACGTCGCAGAGCTGCTCTACATGGTCGAGGCTCGGCAGGCCTCGCACCATCTCCATGGCACTGAGCCGCTTCAGGGCCTCGAAGTGAAGGTGCCCGAAGCGCTCGTGCCACTGCCACGCCTCGTCGTCCCGACGAGTAGCGAAACAGAGGGGTTGTGCCACCTGCACGTTGAGGACGTAGAGTCGATTTGTGCTTCTAGTTACCTTGGCAAGAAGGCGACGACGGCGATCCCAAATCCTCATGACTCCATCCTCAACCACTACGGGCGAACCGTTCTCATCCAGCTGTCCCAAGCTGATGATGGAGTTCCTCAACGCGGGGATGTAGTAGACTCCGGTGAGCAGTCTGTGCTCACCAGACACGACGGTGAAGATGACGGAGCCGACGCCCTTGATCTCCATGCCGGAGGCATCCCCAAACTAGACGGAGCCTCGGATGCTAGAGTCAAGCTCGGCGAAGAACTCCCGTTGACTGGTCATGTGATGGGTGGCGCCGGTGTCGAGGCACCACCCGTCAGTCTTGTCGTTGTCGGAGCTGTCGCCGAGGAGGGCGTGTGCTTTTGGCTCGTCAAGGTGGAGGAGAGCCGCTGCGGCCGGTGCCGCTGGAGGTAGCTCAATGCTTGCATGTGCCATGAACAGAGCCGGCTCCTCCTCCGCCTGTGCGACGTGGGCCTAGCTGCGTCGTGGCTGTCGATAGTCCTTGGCCCAATGGCCATGCTGGCCGCAGTTGTGGCAGGTGTCGTCTCGTGCCGACTTCTGCTTGACGGCGGCGCCGCCCTGGGCGCCTCCGCGGGCATCACCCTCGGCACGTCCTCGCGCCCCGGCCTGGGCGTCTCTGCGCGCCTTGCGCGGCTTGCCACGCTTGCGGCCGCTTGTCGCGGAAGAAGGCTCCCCCTTCTTCCGGTCACCTTGGCGGGCATCCTACTACCGAGTGAGAAGGAGCTTCCCGCCAGTGGTGATGGGCCCCGAGAGGGACTGTGGCTCATCGCTGTCGACGACCTTGAGGCGACCTATCGCCTCCTCGATCGACATCGTGGAGAGATCCAGCAGAGACTTGATCGAGCGAGCCATCTGCTTGTACTTCTCGGGGACGCAATGGAAGAGCTTTTCGACAGCTCTCTCCTCGCCGTAGGTGTCATCGCCGAACTGCACCATCTTCTGCAACAGAGTGTTGAGACGGAGAGCGAAGTCATCAACGTCCTCACCTGGCTTGAAGGCCAGGTTCTCCCACTCCTTGCGAAGTGCCTGCAGTGTGGACTTGCGGGCGCGGTCGCTGTCGATGCGTGCCGCAGCGATGGCGTCCCAAGCCTCCTTGGCAGTCCGCTTGTTGGTAAGCGAGAACTGCATCTCGGACGGGACTGCAACGATGAGAGCATCCAACGCTCGTCGATCCTGGTCGTAGTCGACGTCGCCGTACCGGACTGCCTCCCACATGTGCCGCACCTGGAGCTTTACCCTCATCACCGCAGCCCACTCGACGTAGTTGGTCTTAGTGAGGGTAGGCCACCCACCGCCGGGACCGACGTCCCTGACAACAGCCTGAAAACCGTGGTAACCATGGTACCGATCCGGGGAGAGAGATCCATGCTGCCTGTGAAGGTCGCGCTCTCCATCGACCCGTCCGCCACCGTCACCGTGCGCGCCTCCTCCAGGAGCGCCACCGGCGCATCCACACCTGTCTGGGCCGCCGCCGCGCTCGTGGGCATGCGCGGCTCCTCCAGGAGCGCCACCGCCGTGTGCGCCTCTTCTAGGAGCGCCGCCAGCGCGTCCGCGCCTGTTTGGGCTGCCGCCAAGCTCGTGGGCGTGCGCGGCTGCCCCAGGAGCGCCACCGCCGTGCGCGCCTATCTGGGCTGCCGCCACGCTCGTGGGCGTGAGCGGCTGCACACTGCGCCGCCCGCGCTCGCGCTGCCTCCCTCTCTAGCAGCTCGAGGTCCGCGTCGGCGGTGTCGTCAGCGGAAATGGAGCTGCCGATGCTGCCGCGCAGAGCCTCGACCTCCGCTGCCGCCGCACGCGCTGCATTCGCCGCCGCCGCTGCTTCCGCCTCCGCTCTGGCTGCTGCCAGCTCCGCCGCTGCCAGCCTCGACGCCCTTGCCGCCGCCGCAGCGGTCTCTGCCGCCGCTCGCTCGCGTTCCTCTGCCGCGGCAAGTTCGGCCTCCTGCCGACGCCGCGTGCTCGAGGCGACCGAGCGCTGAGACTGCCCTGCGGACATGACGCGCTACCGGGGGGCTGCTGCGTGGGGAGAGGGCTGCTTCAGACGAGCTGCTGCTCGTCTGCGCGGGGGAGGAGTGAGCAGGAGCGGCCGGAGCTGCTGCTCGCAGCTGGGGCTGTTGTGTGGCTGGGAGAGGAGATGAGCAGGAGATGCTCAGGCTACAGGATAATACGGCTCTGATACCACTTGTTAGTCGCTGAATTCTCACTCTTGGTAGTAGCAGAATTCTTACTCTCATCGAGAGAGGATGACACTAGGAGTTGGGACAATTTTCTGGTTTATTTCTCAATGCCATGCCAACCCGAGAGGTTGGGGATACATATTTATAGGCTGCTAGCCAGCCAAGCATATGTCGAGATGCTAGTCTAAGATGCTAATATGCTGTCCTAGCTAAGATGCTGTCCTCCAATCAGTCAAGGAGATGCTGCTGTCCTCCAGTCAGTCAAGGACCTGCAGCCACCATATGCTGCAGCCAGCCCCACAAAGACTAGCCAACACATGAGACTTATCCATCATTTGCCATATTGTTTCCGATGTAACCTTAATAAATATCATATTTGTCATTGTGATAATTGGGTACTTTACCTCCTTTTGGTTTGGTTGACGTGAAGTGCTTTCTCTGAAATAGCTTCTGAATGATCTTATCCTCTTATGTTTTCACTGAGACTAAAGCTGTTACCTTACAGGGGGGCTCCTTGATCGAAGAGCTTGAAGATGCAATATATAAGAATCAAAAAGCACCAATATCCTACTCAGAGTTGGCAGCTCTAAAAGAAGGGCGATTCAATGCATCCATCCAGCATCGGCTAGCTGAACTTGAAGGTCTTATATTTTTGATACTCTGTTAGCTGTTTAATTCTCCAGGTCACATTAGTTTTAAGAAACACATTTCTGAGCTTTCATTTCCCAAATTCGTTTTTATGGTCTTATAAAACCTGGTTGTGTTGGCTGGGTATTTTTGTTTTTAGTCTTCCATGTCAACTGAACTAAGCCTAATGCCTATGATGGTTCTTGGTTTGGCATCGGTTCTAAGCCTTCTTTTGGTCTTGTGACCACCTTGGTCCCAGCTCAGTTGCTAAGTTTGACTTTGGTAAAAAAGAATGCATAATGGAACTTTGGGAAGGTGAAAACCATAGTTATAGGAATCATTTAAAGAGGCCACGTGCTGCGATTCAGGTTGCGTGGACCAAATCGTGGTGTCCGATCCGTTCGGATTCGTCCTGAGTTGGCAGGCTGTGCACGCCCCTTGCCGAACCAAAATTTAAGACAGATGCCAAGATCTGATTCCCGCTGCTGCGCACTAAGGTTTGTTGCGGTAGATCATGGATGAGAGAGGGATGCTTGCACCTCCACTGCCTTTCTCCAATAGATTGAGGTTGCCATCAGTGGCGAAGCTAGAGTAAACTGGAGGGGGTGCGCTTACCTTGTAGATGTGTGAACTTGATCCGTAACCATGGTGAAAATTTGACCTTATTCACTGGTATTCAAATTTTTTGTAGGTGCATTGGCACCCACAACAGTGTACCTAGCTTCGCCACTAGTTGCCATGGTGCTGCTTCACGCCTTCTGAGTCAAAGGCGTGTCCCCATTGCAGCATCCTTTGTCATTCCATCTCCCTTGCGCTGGATTTTTTTTTGCTGTACCGCCATTCCACGAGATGGCTGTGTGCTGTGTGGGGGAGTGAACAGAGCATGCTAGGGCAGATTAGGAGAATGCATGGTGGCTTGGTTGGGCTGGACCAGCCAACATCTGCTGGCGCACATCTTTTTTTCCAGTTTATATTCTCCAAACTCTTTAATTGATTCCTCTAAATAAGCTTTGCAATTTTTGGTGTCTTGGGGAGATCTTTGTGGTTGTTGCTTACTTATATACTCCCTCCGTTCCGTTATTGAAGGTGTGCGCGCGTTTTTGGCTTCGGCTGTATTAGTAGGCGCGCTCGAGTGCCAAGGAGCCAGCTAATTACTCCAAAGAGCCGAAGCGTCGCATGCATGCATGGAGGCCTAGCACCAAAGCGTCGGATGCATGGGAATGACCCCTTTGGTCCATTAATAAAGACGTGGATGCTCGCTGTTGCGTTCCTATTTTCACATGCGAGCAATGAGTGCAGCGTCGTTCGCCGGTGAGTTAATACGTTTGCACGCGCGACGGAGGACGTCTTGGTATCTGCAAACTCCCTTCCCACGCCTTGTATAACGGAACAGAGGGAGTTTCTATGGCCATACGACAAATTCTGAATCATGAACCCAAAGAGGCATACACCTACGAGGCGCTATGAACCTTACTTTTATGAAGCGGTGAACCACAAATCATGAACCCCGTACCATGAACCTAGCGAACCACTGTTCTGCTAGGAACTGCAATTTAGGATTACATTTTCTTATTTGATTGTACAATAGATGATATCCACTTGTTATTGAATGTTGATCATATGGAAAATACAGTTTCACACGTGTTTGCATTTATTTTCCTTGCAGCTGCCTTGAAAGCTTCTTTATTTCTTGCCTTCTTTAAAGAACTTTAGTTGTTGGATATCGGTATTGTCTCTCTGCTGCTACATCATCACTCATTTCTTTTTTGTTGCCAGGATTACCTTCTACTAGGGGTGAAGACTTGCAAATGAAGTGTTTGCTTGAATTGTATGGGCTAAAGGTAAAATCAGTAATGCAGTATATAGAACCAGAGATTACTTTGTTCTTACTGGCTGTTCATTTGATATTTATTTTTAACCATGAATGTATAGATTACTACCAACAAATGATACAATCTGAAATATATGGGTTATTTATCGCTATGCTTGCATTATTCATTTGCCACATGATTTTTACATGCCCATAAGTGGTGATATGCGACATCAATTCTTGCTGATTATTCATATATTGTGCAGTTGTTAGATTTGCAGAAGAAAGTGCGATCCGATATCAGTGCAGAATATTGGCTACACAAGAAATGTGCATATCCGGAGAGGCAACTTTTTGATTGGGGGCTGATGTGGATACGGTATCCTTTATCCATGTATGGAATAGGAGATATCCTTTCAAGGGATGCTGATGATGTTCACCGCAAAAAGAGATTTACAGAGGTTTGTGCAATATATCTTCGTATATTTTTTGCAGTTTACATTTAGTTGAAACCATGATCCCAATGTTTGGTGCTTTCGAACTTTAGAGGATGTCGAGACTCGAAGAGGAAGAAAAAAATCAGGCAGATATCAGGAAGAGGAAGTTCTTTGCAGAAATTCTAAATGCTTCTAGGGAACACCAGGTGCAGTTAGCTACTACATTCAAGCAAAGAAAACAGCGGAATGATGGAGTTCAGGTATGGTTTGTTAGAACTGTCTATTTTTGAAATTCAAACAATATTCTGTAGGCATCACCTAGTTGTTTTTGACTGTATCTGTTTATCTATCTGAAATGTTCTAGCTAGGATAATAGGCGGCAAATAATAGATTGATTGAGGGAATAGAGTACAGGATTATATAGGCAAAGGATGCTCTAGGGTTTTGGTTTATAGAAATAGCACCAATCACAGAGATCCTTGCCTAACACCAAATCAATCTATAGATGCGGCATGGTCCTATGTCCTTCACATCCACAAGGCTAAGGCCCGCAGTCTAAACCAGCTATCTGTCTAACCTCATCAGTAAACTATAGCTTGCCATTTGTGATTATGGAAGGTGCAAATTTCAACATAATTAATATTTAATCTTGAGAACAAAATTGAAATATTTAGAAAGTATGTGCACCATCTTGTTTTCTAATTTCTACTTTGTTAGCACATCGTTGCATTTTTTCCACAGTAAACCACATTCCTGTGTAATATGATTTTATCCTATAGATACTCATGATCTGGATGTGCCAAGCTTGAGAGCCTTTTTCACTTGCCAATTGTAGGCATGGCATGTTCGGGCACGCCAACGTATCTCACGGCAAGAGAAAAGTAGGTTGAATCTTCTGAAAATTGGTGATCAAGAAGCATATATGAAGATGGTCGAGGAGAGCAAGAACGAACGTCTGAAAATGCTCCTCGACAAAACAAATGAGCTTCTTGAAGGAATTGGAAAAGCTGTACAGCGACAAAAAGATGCTGAGCATGTTAGTCAGCCAGAAGGGAGTGAAGTGCCAAAAGGGTCAGAGTCTGAGGATTGTTCTCAAATCTCAGGTGTCAAGAGTGAATCACCTGGGGAGTCTCCTTCAGATGATGATGCAGACTTTGCTGGACCTGCAGATGAAAGTAAATTCAATGCAGGTCGTAGACTTGATTTTACTGTCCATTCCATTGAAGAAAAGGTATAGCAAAGTTTCACTAGCTATATATTGAACTTATTGCTTGTCAGATTGCTGGTTGTGTTGGCTTCGACAGTTTTTAGAATGAATGCACTTTTGTGACCATATCCGTAATTATCAAACAGCTTTTGTGTTCTCTTGCGATGCACTGGTGCTTGCTTCAGCTGTATGCCTTATGATAGTAGGTAATGTTATTCAGGTAATACAGCAGGGGGAGCATTGCTACTAGTAGATAATGTGCTGATTTATTTGAATTCTTGCTTCTGTAGGATCCAACTGCCCACAATTGCTGCCTCATTCTGTCTCATGTAATGTGTGTCTGTGTGTGTGTGTGGGGTGGGGGGGGGGGTAGTATAAAGATGAATGCTATTAAGATTCTGTGACTGATCTTGATTGTTCCTTTCTGGTTTTAAAATTTGTGATATTTCACTCCAAAGGTCTAACAATAGAAAACTTCAAGTGCTAATTGATTCCATTTGTCTCCTCAGTTGAATTTATGCTCCTTTGTTCATTAATTTGACCTTTTTTTTTTTTTTTTTTGCAAAATCATAGTGTAATCTGTGATCCTGTGTACTTCTGGTGAAGTAGCAACTCTAATGTTTCTCTTGTGTTCTTTGCATTTACAGGTAACAGAACAACCATCAGATCTTGAAGGTGGGGAATTGAGGTCATATCAACTGGAGGGTCTCCAATGGATGCTTTCTTTGTTTAACAACAATTTGATGGCATTCTGGCTGATGAAATGGGTTTGGGTAAAACAATTCAGACCATAGCTTTGATCGCTTATCTGTTGGAAAAGAAGGAGGTTGCAGGACCACACTTAATAATTGCTCCAAAAGCAGTATTACCAAATTGGTCTAATGAATTCAAAACATGGGCTCCCAGGTAATGTTTCACTGTATGATCAAAATTTTGCGAGTACATTCCATTGCACTATATACCAGAGCCACCCTAAGTCAACATGGTTTTATCTGTTGCAGCATTGGGACAATTCTGTATGATGGTCGTCCAGAAGAGAGGAAGCTTTTAAGGGAAAAGAATTTTGATGGATTGCAATTTAATGTTTTGCTCACGCATTATGACTTGATACTGAAAGATAAGAAGTTCCTAAAGAAAGTTCACTGGCATTATTTGATTGTTGATGAAGGCCATCGTCTGAAAAATCATGAATGCGCTCTTGCTCGCACACTAGTTTCGGGGTATACACTTTATTCATAATCCTTTTTACTGTCTTAAGGCTTTGGATGACATGTATGCACTTAATTATTGTATGAGGCTCTGATTGCCAGTAATGGCTTTTTGATAGTTGACACATTGACGGTTGAAAGACCAGCAACTGAACAGCTTCAAGTTTCATATTTAGTACTAGGCCGCAGAACCCTGTGAATCTTCTTGATCAACCATTAAACTAGTTTTGTCAGACAGCTTCCACATAACTTTTGTTCATATGTGGTGACAATGGCTCTAGACCTTGCAGCATTTCACAGATTCACAGATGGATCTTAAATGCCTTGTCTTGGCAGGTTATCACATTGACATACCTTCTGCCTTTTCTGAAGAAGGTTATCCTTGATAGTAAAAAATAATGGGAACACTGTAAACAAGTCTTTATATTGATCAAGTAGTGTTTAGTGCTGGCTCATAATTGGTTAAGTTGTGGTCTAAAAAAGTATTGAATTGCCATGATATTGTATATTATATAAATTATGTGATTAATTACCAGCTTTAATGGTAATCAAATTACCAGCTTTAATGATAATCATTCTATTAGGTATTATACCAAATTTACCAAATATATACGAACAAAGTTTTTGTGGGAGTGTAACTGATATGATTGAGATGCTATTTTTTATTCATTTTTCATTACTATTCTCTTGTCATCGCTAGTTGCTTACTCTCATTTTTCCATTTTACCTTGTCCATTCTTCATTCATTTAGCGATTGCTATTAACCTACTTATTTTTTTCCTTAAAGACAGCAAATTAGTTTATTTGGGCCATTTGGCAATAATACTTACAGATTGCTGATACTTGATTTACAGATATCAGATCCGCCGTAGACTACTTTTAACTGGCACTCCAATCCAAAATAGCCTACAAGAACTGTGGTCTTTGCTTAACTTTATTCTGCCCAATATTTTTAATTCATCTCAGAATTTTGAGGAATGGTTTAATGCACCATTTGCATGTGATGTTAGTCTTAATGATGAGGAACAGCTACTAATCATACATCGTTTGCATCAAGTGAGTAATGCTGCCTCTGATATACGCCCTCCAGTTATTCAATTCTTTTAACCCCCTCAGATGTTGCCACATGATCCTCCACTTGCATCCTCATACTTTTGGTTGACTGCAACCATGTAGTGAGAATGTGAGTTGGTAGCACATAACGGATGCAAAGAAAGCTGATGGCCAATTTTATATTTGGGAACAGATTTATTTGTTGCTCCCTTTCTTTTTGCCCAGGTTTTGCGTCCATTTTTGCTGAGGAGGAAGAAAGATGAAGTGGAAAAATATCTCCCTGTGAAAACACAAGTAATTCTCAAGTGTGACATGTCTGCTTGGCAAAAAGCATACTACGAACAAGTCACAAGCAGGGAAAAAGTTGTACTAGGATCTGGTATGTCCTAGTATTACTAATCCTTTCCCCTCTAGAGAATTAATTTCTGAGTGAAATAAAATTTGTAATTCTTTTCCAGACCTTGATGGAGTATAAAGCTACTTTAATGTTACTGCAATTTGGATTTATCTGTATTGCTAGTTTATTTTTTACATTACCTTATTGTTGTGTTAGTCTTGCACTTCCTTTTCCTTGTGTTTGTGTTAGTAATGTGCCTATTGTTATATTTGTGTGTGTGTGCAGGGCTCAGATCAAAGACACTGCAAAATCTGTCAATGCAACTTAGGAAATGTTGCAACCACCCCTACCTATTTGTAGAGCACTATAACATGTACCAGCGGGAGGAAATTGTTAGAGCATCAGGGAAGTTTGAATTGCTTGATCGTCTACTTCCAAAACTGCAGAGAGCTGGTCACAGGGTTCTACTTTTCTCCCAAATGACGAAACTGCTTGATGTTTTAGAAGTATATTTGCAAATGTACAATTTCAAGTACATGAGGCTTGATGGATCCACGAAGACTGAGGAACGAGGGAGGTTACTGGCAGATTTTAATAAGAAGGATTCAGAATATTTCATGTTTCTCCTCAGCACACGTGCTGCTGGAGGCCTTGGGTTGAACTTGCAGACGGCGGACACTGTCATTATCTTTGATAGTGACTGGAACCCTCAAATGGACCAACAAGCTGAAGACCGTGCCCATCGTATAGGGCAGAAGAATGAAGTGCGTGTATTTGTTCTTGTTAGTGTTGGCTCAATTGAAGAAGAGATCCTGGACCGTGCAAAACAAAAGATGGGTATTGATGCAAAAGTTATCTAGGCTGGGTTGTTTAACACAACTTCCACAGGTGAGTTTGAATACTCTAATTCCTATTTATTTAATTTTTGCCTACTACGTGTAGACTTTGTACTGAAACTCATGACATATTTTCATGTTCATTCCCACTACAGCACAGGACAGACGAGCTTTGCTGCAGGAGATCCTCAGGAGGGGGACAAGCTCGCTGGGAACAGATATCCCCAGTGAGCGTGAGATAAATCGTTTGGCTGCGCGAACTGATGAAGAATTCTGGTTGTTTGAGAAGATGGATGAAGAAAGGAGGCTTAGAGAAAACTACAAATCTAGACTTATGGATGGGAATGAGGTTCCAGATTGGGTGTTTGCCAACAATAATGATTTACCCAAGAGAACTGTGGCAGATGAATTCCAGAATATAATAGTTGGTGCGAAGCGACGTAGAAAGGAGGTTGTCTATTCGGACTCTTTTGGTGATCAGTGGATGAAATCTGATGAGGGATTTGAAGACATTCCAAAGGCGACTCCAAGGCCGAAGAGGACTGCTTACTCATCTGACATCCAGGTTGAGTTTAGTGAGAAAACACTTAGGTCTGTAGAAAACAACGCAGATGGTGCGAGTAACCCAACGTGGACACCTGACAAAAAAAGGGCTAGAGTTTCATCATACAGCAAGGACGAGACTGGAGATGATGGCGAAGACGTAGTCATTACTAGCGGCTTACAGAAGGGAAACAGTTTCACATGGAATACCCTTGGAAGAAGAAGGTCAAGCCACTTCAGTTCGTCGTCGGACTCGAAGGGGCGCCCATCATTCTAATGTCAGCATAGATGAATGTTATGGCCTCGACCTGTTTGTTTGATGAAAGTCCTTCAACACTGGAGTACCCTGTAGACTAAGGTAGCAGGACTATGACTACGACTAAGAAGTACGTTCAAGCTTATGAACTTTATTAGAATTACTAGTATACTGTATGGACTTGTTGGCATAAATTTGTAGAACTCCTTTATTAAATATTAATTTCGTTACACATCAAACCGACATTGGAGGGTTTTTCTATGCACTTAGATATATATATATATATATATATATATATATATATATGTTATGTCTAGATACATAATAAATTTATGTATCTTAAACGTTTAAAGTGTCTTATAATTTGGAATGAAGGGAGTATCTCTAAGAGCTCCTTTAATCTATTTCCAAAAACATCCAACAACTCCCTACACTTATAATCTCCCAATCAACTCCACACATTCTTACCCTCTAACTCTGCACAACCCTCATTCCCTGCACAGTTCAATCACTTGACCAACTTTGTGCATTTGTACCAACTTTGTCCACGATTCAATCTGCCAGGGAGGAGGACGCCGCCGTCTGGGGCCGCGCCTCCTGCTCCGGCGACGAGGCGGGTGGCTCCAGCCACCGTAGAGCATGAATCACACTTGACGCGCTTCTCTACCTGGTGCGCCAGCTGTCGCGCCGCGGGATCAAAACTATGGCAAGCATTGTTGTTCGTTGGGTGTCATTGACTGTTAGGTCTCCGGTGGCTCGGGTGGACTCAAGAACATGAAGAACTCAAAGATCACACGGGAGACATTGGTTCGGGCTATCGGGGCCTAGGGCTGGATAATGAGCCAGCTCGGCTCGGCTCGTTCTGGCTCATTAAGATAACAAGCCAAAATAACGAGCCAGAAGGCCAGCTCGGCTCGGCTCGTTTACGAGCTTGAGTTGGGTCGTTAAGCTCATGAGCCGTGTATAAAAAAAATACACAAATATAATATTTATATTTATCTAAAGCTCGAGAATAGTAATAATACAAAATTAAATATCCAACAGCTTTAAATCAAATAAAATATTCATATGTACTAACATATATGCAAGTATAATAATATACTATAGTATTATTAAACCATGCATCCATGGTCCACGCTCCATACCATACAAATGTGTCCATAAGAATCCATACATCCATTAAAAACAAAATGATAGATTCATAATAATCTCAAGTTTATAGAGTCTAGACCAGTCATCAACCAATTATAAAGTGCAAGACATGAAGTAATACAAAACTAATATAAGTTATGCTACTTTTTCTGGCTCATTTCACTCGCGAGTGGCTTGCGAGTTGGCTCATTATAGCTAACGAGCTAAAATCTTGGCTCGGCTCGTCTCGTTATCATAACGAGTCGAGCTGAGTCGAGCCAGCCACGAGCCGAGCGAGATAACGAGCTTTGAGTTTTTCGTCCATCCTTATAGGAGCCCTACATCTAGCAGTTTGATGATCTTGTATTCAAGAGCACCCAAATCGAGGGGTTACAACAAAGTATAAGAGATTTGGCAGGGGATCGCTCGGTGCTGATCCTAGGCTCATCGGCGGTGAGGTCTCCTCCTTGTCGGAGAGGAGGAAGACGATAGAAAGGGTGGAGGAGCTCTCGGTACTCCTCTCAGGGTGGCTTTGCTATTAGTTTGGTCATGAGGACTCGAATGATTTGTTCTCTGGTTCCTAGGTTCGTCCTTTGTTCGTTCCCTCCCTTCTGTACGATCTGACCTCCCTTTATAGATCGAGGTAGGTCGGGTACATGGCAATTGGGGGAGTCTACTCTATGGTCTACATGCGCCGGAGTCCAGGAGGGCCTTGCAGCGGCGCGAATGGACCTTGGCGTTGTCGTGGAGCCGGAGAAGCTATGGCGTCATCCGATTGCTCTGTTTTGATGCTCTGACTGTCAGGCTTTGTCGGCTTGGACTGGCCTCCACCAGGTGCATCTTGTGGAGGCTTCCTTGGTGGCGAAGGCGTCCGGCTTGAGGGGCTAACGAGCGGGCTCGGGAGGCCCCGAGCCCCTGCAACCAGCGAAGGGGTTTTGTCACCTTGTGTCACGCCACGTGTGTGACATCGTCGGGGGAGTGGTTGACAGCGCTGCGCTGGGGAGCCCTCGAGCCTTGGGTGCTCGGGGCGCCTACCTCCAGCCCGGGCCTTGGCTAGCGCTAGAGGCCGGGACCAAGGAATGGGCTTGGACCCGTTGATCGAGAGCTTAGGGCTCGAGTGAGACCCCGAGCCCTGAGCAAAGGGCGAGGGTGTGCTCGGGATCAGCCCAGTCCTTGCTCGAAAGGCATGTGCGAGGGCATATGTGGGGTGTAGCCCCGAGCCGTCGGACGATCCTGAAAGTTAACGTACGCTCGTGTTAGGATCACGTCAACTGCATATTTCTGCCCTGGCCCAAGTGATCCGAACGGGCCATGGTGGTCTAGGAAACAAACACAGCCCTTGTTGCACGGCCCATTCATCCTACATCCCGACCCATCGGATGCAGCTGTGGCGTCATGCACGGATCACCCTGACTCCTCGCACACACCCCACCACCCCCCCTCCTCCTCCCCCCCCCCCCGACCAGGTGCATCTTGTGGAGGCTTCCTTGGTGGCTAAGGCGTCCGGCTTGAGGGGGCTAACGAGCGGGCCCGGAGGCCTTGAGGGGCTAAGCGAGGGTTTTGTGGGTGTCACCCACGTGTGAGGCAAAGCAGCCTAGGGGAGGGGTTTTGTCACTTTGTGTCACGTGTGTGGCACCATCGCTTAGGGAGGCCGGGACCAAGGAATGGGCTTGACCTACGATCGAGAGCTTAGGGCTCGGCGAGCCTCGAGCCTTGCGTGTGCTTGGGGAGGGCATATGTGGGGTGTAGGCCCGAGCCATCTGGACGATCCCGAAAGATTGGTTGGTTCTAAGGATGAAAACGGAAAGGAAATATCCCGAACCGGCATCGTTTTCTATATTTGAGAGGGCGGGACCAAGGAAAGGGCTTGGACCTGAAATCGGATCGAATTCGGTTTAGGCTCGAGAGCTTAGGGAATATCCCGAATTCGAACCGAAATTGGTTTAAACCAAATTTGACCCACTACAAGTCCAACCTTAGAAAAATTATATCTTTTCATACGATCTCGGATGAAGATGATTTTTATATGAAAATTGTAGCTCTCAACGAGATCTACACTTTCTAGTTTTAGTTTTTTCATTTGATGTCTTGAAAATGAGGCGTGCTCGGGATCAGCCCAGTTCCTATGCTCTCGATGAAGATGATTTTATTGCTCGAAAGGCACGTGCGAGGGCATATATGGGGTGTAGGCCCGAGCCGTCGGACGATCCTGAAAGGATTGATTGGTTCCTTCGATCGGAAAAACCATAAAAAGTTAACGTACGCTCGTTCTACATCCCGACCCATCGGATGCAGCTGTGGCGTCGTGCACGGATCAGGTCTCCTGACTCCTCACCGTTTCCGACCCCCCCAACCGCCTTCGCGTACTCCCAAGGCCGAATCGTTAAATCCCGACCCTCGGATGCAGCTGTGGCCTCTCCAGATCGTCACCGCGACGGAGGCGATCTCGCGTACTCCCAAGGCCCAGCCAATTTCCCTCCTCGCACCCAAACACTAACAAGCAATCAAACAAACACTAACAAGCAAGGTCATGGCGCCGACCACGCACGACGCGGTGGAAGAGGCGTCGGGATCTAGGTCGAGGGCAGAGCGGCGGCGGCAAAAGCAGCGGCGGCGGCACCGCCACGAGCCCGCGGTGACCGATCACCTGTCGGGGGCCATCCAACCGGAAGCTGAGCCGTCATCGCAGCAAGGCAAGAGGAAAGCCGCCCTTGAGCAGTCCGAAGGCGAGGGGCGGAAGAAGAAGCGTAAGAGAACCCAGAAGAGCCACAGAAAGAAAGCCGCTGCCTCAGCGTCAACAGGCGCGCATGCCTCTGACTCTGAGGCCTCCTCTACGGTCAGCCCTCCTCTGCGTTTTCCTCGTATGCCCAATCCCGATGACTTCGGTGGACGGGATGCACCTGGCTATCATGCTGCGAATGATGTCTATTTTGACTTGGTGGGGAAGTACCATGAGAAAATGAGTAAGTTTGGGAAACTTCTTTGCCCTTTTGTGTTCAATCTGCAATACTTCCGAAGGCATGCATTACTGAATGGGTTTGGGAAACTTGTTTGTCCTTCTGTGTACTATCTTCAATACTCCTATAGGCGTATCTTACTCAATGCTGCTAGAGAAATAGATATGGTAAAGAATTGGATATGAACTGAGGGTATGTTATTGGCCACATCTATAACATTTAAGTAGGCATGCATGACCAACTATCCCTAGAGAACAGTGTGATGTGGGGGGCGCCAATATCAAAGGCGTCCCAGGGCTCGAGACTCGAGATGTGGCCAGAAGGGCCAGAGCGGCATCCAAGGAGGTACCAGCTGTCATCAGTAGCAATTAAGTATTATGGGGAAGGGATTAGAGTAATGAGAGAATGATTAATGGGGAGAGAAACGAGGAGACAGAGCTGGGTGCCTAGGGGCTGGGCTGCTCTATATATACTCTGTAATCAGCTTATGATGAATCAATCAAGAAACAAGTTGTCTCCTAATCTACCTCTGCTACTCTTAACCTCACCCCCTTCACCATAGGGCGTCTAGGGAACCCTCCTGGCGCCATTACCCAATCAAGCTACGAACTCCGGAGTCGGGGACCTGCTGTCTTGGGCACCAACGCCCTTGACAATCTGGTATCGGCTTAAAGGCGTTCTTCTTCCTCCACTGCACCACCACCAGCCCACCCAGCCGCCACCACTCCATCTGTTCCTACCTCACCTTCATCTTCCACCGCCTCCATATCATCACCCATGGCCGAGCCAACCACAGCAGACTTGGCAAAGCTCATCCAAACCCTGACCGCCTCCATCAACGAACTCCAGGGCTAGGTCGCCGCGCTGCAGCAGGAGCGGCTAGTAGCAGGCTCCTTCTCTGGATTGAGGGGCTCAAGCCACGGCGAGAACCACGGCGATCGCCCACATCGGTTCCAGAAGCTCAACTTCCCGAAGTACGACGGCAAGTCCGATCCACTCGCGTTCATCAACCGCTGTGAGTCATACTTTCATCAACAGCGGATCGCCGTGGAGGAGCAAGTCTGGATGGCGTCATACAACCTAGAGGCCGGTGCCTAGATGTGGTTCATCCAGGTGCAGCAAGACGAGGGCACCCCCTCTTGGCGTCGCTTCAGCAAGCTTCTGAACCTCCGCTTCGGGCCGCCGATCCGTTCCAATCCGCTGGGCGAACTCATGGCGTGCAAGTGAACCGACTCAGAACGGAGTATCAGACCGGTTTGAGGCCCCCGCCGCCTTGCGTGGGCATCTTTGGACGAGGCCTTAGTGGTGGGCATGAGCCTTCATGGCGTGCTCCACCACCACCACTCACCTCGACGCCGAGATTCACAACCCCAATCTCATTGTCGCCATGAGCCTCGCCCGCAAGCTAGAGCAACGCGAGCGGTGTGTTGCGTTGCATTCGCACCTCGCGCGCGCCACCAAGAGCGCCGACGCGGCGGCCTCCTTCCTGGGCCGCCTCCTCAATTGGCGCTTCCGACTCCCCAGCCAGGGCTGGACCATCCATGGTCTCCGTCGAGGGGCGACAGGTAAAACATCTTTCGCAGACTGAGATGGAGGAGCGTCGTCGCCTCGGCCTATGCTTCAACTACTGGTGAAAAGTTTGGTCGGGGCCACAACCACGTCTCCGCGGCGATCTTCCTCCTCGACTTGGCGAGAAGATGATGAAGCCCACGACGCCGGGACGCGGAGCTTGTGGCGGGCCGAGGTGGTCAATTCGCACATTTCGTTGTTTCGCCATGGTCGGTGTCCACACCGATGTGAACCATGCAAGCAAGATCCATCCATTTGGCGGTGCCTCCTCCTCGCGCTCATCGACTCCGGCTCGACCCACAACTTCGTCTTCGAGGAAGCCGCGGCTCGCACTTCACTCCAGCTCCTCCCCCGCAACAACATGAAGGTGACGGTGGCCAACGAGGAGCGTGTGCCGTGCCCTGGCATGTACCGTGCCACAACCTTCTCCATCGACGGCGAGACCTTCTCCACCGATTTTTCAGACCGCCACCGGCTGGGCTTATGACGCGTCCCAAGGCGCATTGGTTGGCCTCCCTTGGGCCGATTCTCTCGGGACTTCGCGCCGCTTAACCATGTCTTTTTGGCATCGGGACCACCGTTCTGGCGGCAAGGCGTGGATCGGGCAATACCAAATTTCGCTTCTGCATGGGGCGTGCAGCGATGCCGACCTCCTTCCGGCCTTGCTGGACGAGTTCAGCTCCGTCTTCGCCGAGCCTAGTGGCATGTCATTGTCACGATCCGGGACCATTTGATCAACCTAGTCCCGAGGTCCTCACCAAAGTGGCCGCGTCGACCCTATCGCTAGCCCGCCTCCCACAAGGATGAACTGGAACGCCAATGCTCCACTATGCTGGCACAGGGGCTGATCCAGCGCTGCACCTCAACGTTCTCGTAACCTGTGTTGCTGGTCAAGAAGGCGGGCGATACGTGGCGGTTATGTGTCGACTACAAGCCCTCAACACCATTACTGTCAAGGATGCTTACCCCATTCCAGTGGTCGATGAGCTCCTCGACGAGTTGCACGGCGCCCGCTACTTCACCAAGCTGGACCTCCGTTCCAGCTACCATCAAGTCCGCATGAGCGTTGCAGATGTCGAAGACAGCGTTCCGGACTCATGATGGCCTCTACGAATTCCTTGTCATGCCGTTCGGTCTGTGCAACGCTCCGACAACATTCCAAGCACTGATGAATAACGTGCTACCACTGTTCTTGCGCCGTTTCATCCTCGTCTTCTTCGATGACATCCTCATCTACTGACCGCCGGGCGGAGCACCTTCAAAGATTTTGCGTGCGGTCCTTCATTGTGCTCCACCAACATCGCCTCTTCGCTCAAGCGGTCCAAATGTGCCTTTGGCGTCACCTCCATCCCCTATTTGGGGCACATCATCTCCGCTGAAGGGGTGGCCATGGACCCCAACAAGGTTCAGGCCGTCGCGGACTGGTCCCAACCTCGCTCGGCGCGTGCAGTACGTGGCTTCCTCGGGCTTGTAGGCTACTATCGGAAGTTCGTCAAGGACTTGGCGTGATCGCAGCGCTTTTGAAGGCCCTCCTCAAGAAGGAGGGGTTGGCTGACCGAGGCGGCCAGCCGCTGCCTTCATCGCCTCAAGCACGCCCACCACCACCGCGCCCGATCTTTGGTCTTGCCCGACTTCGCGCGACCGTTCATCGTGGAGTGTGACGCCTCCACCTATGGCTTCGGGGTTGTCCTCCTTCAAGATCAGCACCCAGTGGCGTTCTTCAGCAGGCCCTTTGCACCACGGCATCAGTCCCTTGTAGCTTATGAGCGGGAACTGATAGGCTTGGTGCTCACCATCCGCCACTACTAGCCCTATCTTTGGGGCCGCCGTTTCCTGGTACGAACTGGTCATTTTAGCCTCAAATTTACATTAGACCCGGCGCCGCTTAGCCTAGCAACCATTCCGCGCAGCACCACTGGGTGGGCAAGCTCTTTGGGCTTCGATTTTCGATCGAATACAAGGCGGGCAAAGACCAACACGGTGGTAGACGCTACCGTCTCCGCCGCGACACCGAGGAAGCCGCATCCTCGCCATCTCCGAAGCCGCGCGTTGACTTCATCGACCGTCTTCGTCGGACACATGACCGGGACCTGCTACCGATCATGCTCGGGGAGGAGCTTCGCCAATGATCGCCAGACGCCCCTTGGTCCCTCGTTCATGGGCTGGTGGCCTTCGGGGCGCTCTACATCCTCGCTTTGGTGCCCTCTCGCTCCAAGAACTTCTTAGCAGCGTAGGCACGACGACGGCCATGAAGGCGCGCCCAGCGCACCGCACCGCCGCGCGCGCGACTTCCACTCACCCAACTGCGCATAAGGTGGTCCAGACTACGCTCGAGCATGCGCCACATGCCAATGCTACAAATCGTAACACACCGCATCTAGTAGGCTGCGCCCTTCCCTCTCGGTGCCGTCGTCGGTTTGGACCGACATCGGGATGGACTTCATCGAGGTGCTGCCCCGGGTTGGCGGCAAGTCTATCATCCTCACTGTTGTCGACAGATCAACAGATTCAGTAAGTATTGCCATTTTATCCCATTGGCGCATCCATACTCGGCGGAGTCTGTGGCGCAGGTGTTCTTCACCGACATCGTGCGCCTGCATGGTATCCCGGAGTCCATTGTCTCGGATCGGGACCCCGTGTTCACTTGTATCTTCTAGAAAGTGCTTATGCGCCTCGCTTGGGTCAAGCTCCACATGACAATGGCGTTCCATCCTCATCGAGACGGCTGACCGAGGCAACCAATAAGGTCATCGTCATGTACCTTCGCCGCCTCACGGTGATGATCCTCGGCGATGGCTGGTCATACTGGCCGCCATGGGCGGAATTCATCTACAACACTGCCTTCCAGTCCGCCCTCAAGACGACGCCGTTCCAGATCGTCTACGGGCGCGCCTCCCTCCTTTCGCTCCTATGAACCAGGCGAGACAAGGGTTGCTACCGTGGCCAAAAGCATGGCTGAACGTGACGAGCTCCTCGCAGATGCAAGCGTCGCTTTGGAGCAAGCCCAGCGGTCTCAAGCGCTTCTACGACAAGCACCACTGCGACGTTAAGCTTTGGTTGTTTGGGATCTGGGTGCTCGCGCCGCCGCCACCGAGCCCTAGCCTCCCGGAACGTGGTCACCAAAGGGAAGTTACGACCAAAGTTTTGCTAGGCGCTAGGCGAAATCTAGGCGATGACCCTTAGCCTAGCGACTAGTCCAGCCTAGGCTAGCCTAGGCGATGCTAGGCGTTTTTCTAGGCGTTTTGCTAATTTATATTTATATATCAATATATAATATATACATTTATAGCACAAATCATGAATAATTTAGATAAAAAATAGGGAAGGACCAAAGAGACATACCTTAGGTCCTTTGTCCTTAGTTGCAGATTGATACACTATCGATCATCGAACTTCATGCAAAGATTGCTGCAATAGAAGTGGACAACACTTTTAGATGCAATTGGGCATCAATACAAGTGATACAAAAAATAGGAAATAGCAAGTTAGGTACTTATCTCGAGGTCTCGAGCCTTCTCCCATCCATTATCAAGATTTCAACAAAGATAGGATAGCCTTTTGAAATCACAAACATGAAGGGACACAGAGACAAACAACACGTAATATAAAATGGATAGTAGACTAGCAAGACATTACATCACATGATTGATGATTCTCAGTTCTCACAACACAAAACACAAGCACACACAGCAGGAGTTCTAAGTTCATAAGTTAAAGATACATGGATGCATAATAAAAGCTAAAACATGACATGAAGTCGCTCTCACACTTCTTCAAGAGGGTTCATCCATCACATAGTCATCCTCATCTTCATCAAACTCTTCTTCTTCTTGGACTCAAACTCTTCTTCATAGAGCCCTCTCACCCTTACACTTCTACGCTGTGACTCTAGTTGTTCTTCTCCTCCCACCGTGATCTCCACTGCTCTCTCTCACCCTTGCCAAAGTGGGAGGAGGCTCACGCCTGGGATCTGCCTCCAAGCTTAGCAATTGCAATTGCGGGACTCGCTTCCTGCTGGGAAGAGCACGACCATGGGATGAGCTCGTCGAGGAGGAAGGAGACCTGCATGGGAGAGAAGGCCGGCCTGGTCTTGCCAAAGTGGGAGGAGGCTTGCCGCGTGGGATCTGCTCAGCGAAAGCAAATAGCAGCCGTGGGACTGCTTCCCCCGTGGAGGTCGAGGTCGAGGCGAGTACGACTCTGTCCCCCTTATCCTTCTCCAGCAAGCAGTTAGCACTGGCTTTTTCCCCGCGCCTAGAGCTCTGCTGTGGCAGGCGCCCGCCATGAGCCATTCTTTTCATGATGGCCCGCGTCGCCCGCCTAGCTCGATTCCACGCCACCTAGGGCTCCTGGGCGCCGCCGAGTTGCCGCCTAGCTCCGCCTAGTCGCTCCGCCCGCCTAGAGGGGCGATTACCCCCCTAGTCTAGGCGCCAGGCCATAGCCTAGCGACTAGGCGCGCCTAGGCGAGACGTAATCGTCGATTTTCAAAACTTTGGTTACGACCCCGTTTCTACGGGCCATACCGCGTCGCCGCCATCATCAACGACGTCGCCTACCGCCTTGAGCTTCCTCCTCACGTCGGGCTGCATGATGTCTTCCATGTCGGGCTGCTCAAGAAGTTTGTGGGGATTCCACCAACCACGCTTCCAGCGCTGCCCCCCACCCACCACGGCGCAACGCAGCCTGTTCCAAAGTGCGCCACCCGCACTTGCCTGGCCAGAGGTGTGCGGCAGGTGCTGGTGCATTGGCAAGACGAGCCTGCAGCATCGGCCACCTGGGAAGACCTCGACAACTTCATCGACCGCTATCCAAGCTTCCAGCTCGAGAACGAGCTGTTCGTCGAGGGAGGGAGAGATGTGATGTGGGGGCGCCAATATCAAAGGCGTCCCAGGGCTCAAGATGTGGCCAGAAGGGCCAGAGCGGCATCCATGGAAGTACCAGCTGTAATCAGTAGCAATTAAGTATTATGGGGAAGGGATTAGAGTAATGAGAGAATGATTAATGGGGAGAGAAACGAGGAGACCAGAGCTAGGCGCCTAGGGGCTGGGCTGCTCTATATATACTCTGTAATCAGCTTATGATGAATCAATCAAGAAACAAGTTGTCTCCTAATCTACCTCTGCTACTCTTAACCTCACCCCCTTCACCATAGGGCGTCTAGGGAACCCTCCTGGCGCCATTACCCAATCAAGCTACGAACTCCGGAGTCGGGGACTGCTGTCTTGGGCACCAACGCCCTTGACAAACAGGGACATGATAGAAATCTGAATATGCAAGAAGGGTATGTTATTGTCATTTTATCTATGGTAATAACTAGATATGCAAGAAGGTTATGGTCCTGTCTTTTTATCTATGGTAGCGAACACCTCAGTGAGAATGTATGGTTCAATGCTGTTATACAGACTTAGATATGGTAGAATTAGATATTAAGAGAAGATATGGTTGAGAGTCGTATTAATTGTTGAAAGTTTGGCCGGAACTAGGAAACTGCTTTCGTGCGTAGAATTCTCTTGTACTCACTTTTTTTTTGCTTTCATCCCATCTAGCAAAAAAAAAAAACAATTTCAATAATGAATGAAACATACTCCATATTTATTTTGCATACTATGGATTTGAACACAATAGACTGATTCAGCATGTATTTATATATGATAACGTGCAGAGCGCCAATGTGAGCTTGTCACACTTGATACTTCTATTCCTTTCTCGTCGTTGGTAACAGAAGGTCAATTGAGGAGTGTTCGTGAATCCGCAACAAAAGCGGTTCTCCAAGTAGCTAAAGTTATTCTTAGTCTCTCATCCTATATCGGTATGTAACATATTGCCTCTATTTAGTTTCTCTCTATCCTTTGTTTTTTTCACTAATCTATTATTGCATTTACAGATGGTAAACTGATGGCACGTTCATCTGGTTTTCTTATTGGTTGGGATGAGAAGAGTAGAGAAGGCACTGTTTTAACATCAGCACATATAATCTGCTCAAAATATACGAGCCAGTGGTCAGGTACAGATGAGTATTCACCTAATGCTAAGGTGAGTTCAGAAACAATTGCCATTTTGATATAGACACACAGCTTATGCCGCTATCACTTTATCCTGTTTATATTCTAAATAAGTGTAATACTCGTCTTTTGTATCCGCAATTAGGTTGTTACTCATTTGTTGGATGAATACTAGTATTATTGTTGTGATTGTATCATGTTTCTTAAAAAAACTGTAATGTCTATCTTTTGTATCTGTATTCAGGTTGTTGCTCATTTGTTAGATGAAGATGAGACTACTGTGCCTGCACAATTGCTTCATTATGACAAGCACATCAATATGGCTCTGTTTACAGTTTGTATAGAGTCATGTGCTAAAATTCCTGAATTCAATAGTGATGTGAAATATGGTCAGGAAACATTTGTGATGGGTAGAGATGAAAATCTAAATTTGACTGTTGATTATGAGTTTGTTGGATTTCATGGCCCAAATCTACATGAACGTCCTCACTATATGTTCACTGGTGGTGCAATTAGAAAGGTATAAATGATATTTATCCTGACTTTCTCATAAATTATTATTGATTTATTATCTTGTTTATATTTCTAAATGTTGAGTTTAAATATTTTAGTCTAGCATTGGAGGGCCAGTAATTGACTTCAGTGGGGAAGTTTTGGGGATGGCTAACTTTCCAGGATCAGCTTTTATTCCTTCCTCTATTATATCGAGGTGCTTGGCTATGTGGAAGAAATATCAGTAAGTTCTTGTTTTGCTACTCTAACTGTATGATTTTAGTGATGAACAAATATCTTGAGGAAACATGATAGATTTTGTTGTGCACTTGTGTTAATTAATATATTAGTTCTTAGATTGATAAGTCTCATTTCTGTTGTCTTGTCTATTTTAGACCAAAGTTCAGCTAGGCGCTAGGTGGAATCTAGGCGCTGACCCATTGCCTAGCGCCTAGTCGAGAGCACTCGGTCCTAGGCGCTCCTAGGCGTTTTCCTAGGCGTTTTGGCAATATAGCCATAAATTATATATATATATATATTATGTATATAACTATATATATGTATATAACTACTATATATGAGTCACAGTAAGTATAAAAAGAGGGCTAGACGCCTTACCAACTAAAGGAAATTTTAAAACAGCAGCTCAAAGCAGTATATGGATTTTTTTTTTGAGCAAACTCAGAGCAGTATATAAATAATAATAAAGAAAAAGGAAAGGAAAAAAGAAAAAGAAAGGAGGAGTAAGAAGTGGTCTGGCCCAGCCCACGTGCACCAAGCAGCCCATGTGCCCCTCACCCTCGTAGCCCTAGCGTGTCTTCATCTCTCTCCTGCACTGCGCCGCCGCCGCAACTCTCTTTGACTTCCGCCTCCGCCCATCTCTCTGTCTCTTCCCTCCCGTTACCTCTGACTCTGCCCACCTCTCTCTCTCTCTCTCTCTCTCTCGATGGTGGAAGAGGAACAGAGGAGGCGGGATGCTGCAGGCCAGCTCTTATTGGGGAAAGACGGCCGTGGCCCGTAGGCGGCCGCTCCTTGCCGCGGCCCGCACAGGCGGCTGCACGGCTCGACGGCGGTCGGTCGGCAACTTCTCCTGTCGGCGCGGGCGAGCTGCGGCTTCTTGTTCCCCTCCCGCTCTCCCGACGGGTGTGGAATCTCCCGTGCGCCCGCTCTCCTGCTCATCTCGCGCGCCTCCGCGCCGCCTAGCGCCGCGATGCGTGACTA